CCAACATGTAGCTCACTTCAACTCTTCGTCCTCACCAAATTATCGTTACGATAACATACAGCAGGCACAGGAGTGGAGAGCCCTGTTTTTGCCTGGGGTGATGGTATATGATATTTGTAAATTACTCATTATCATGAGAAGGAGTTGATCAGGGGGTGCGGTCAAATAAATATTAAATTATAAAAATAGTATATTTAATTTATTACACCGATGTTTCGACCCACCTTGGGCGTGGTATGAGGCACTGTAGGAGGCAGTTGCTAAACTATTTTTATTGTTTTTATAATTTAGTATTTATTTGACCACACCCCCTGATCAACTCCTTCTGCTATTATATCACGGTCAACCATCTCACACCATTATTCATTATCATGTTAAGTTGAGGTCAGAACTATTTCTATGGGGGAAACTTCCAAAACCAATAATTAAAATTAATAATTAATTAGTTAATTAAAATTAATATGGAAGAAGGGAAGTATGTAGATTAGAGAGACTAATGAACCTAGTTGGTATGCCGAGTTGAAGTGGCTCTATCCAGTATTACTTCCTAGGTGTATTCCTTTTTCGAACCATTTCAACCAAAAAACCCTCTTACCTTCTCGATTTGTTTACTCCTTGATCCTCTCTTCATTCGTTTAAAACGAGATCCCAGCCTTCAAACCTGTTTATCCCTTCTCATAAAACTGTATCCTTTAAACAATCATCTTGTTTTGGAATTCCCTAGCAACCTCCATACGCAAATACTCATCCATGACCTTATTTAAACATAATTTATCCATCCATCTCCTCAGCAATCAATCTTCCGAATAAGTGAAAAATAATGTTCACGTTTCTCAGACCTATCAGTCTAATTTAATGTTATCCTACAGATAATTATATATCATCCACATTATTAATGTGTACAAATATGTGAACTCGCACATAAGAATTTATTTATAATTTCATATCCGTACCAGTGTCTTTTCTTTATTTAAATTTTTAATTTTACGTCTAGATAATCTTATAATTTAATTTAATCCTAATTATTTCTAATACCAGACAATTGTCATTAATTTGTACATTATTCTATGGATATTCTAAATGTTCTATATATATTCTAAGGAGATTTAGTACCAGAATAAAATGTATTTTTCTTCTTCTTCGTCTTCTTCTATGTATGATATTCCATCTAACTTTACTTGAATGTTCCGTCAAAAAAGATTACTTTTATGAAACTTTAGCCAATTTGATATTTCTTCTTCGATTGGGTGGAAAAAGCGTTAAATAATTGATAGAACATATAGTAACTAAAGGAGCTTACGAGACTGTTTCAATTTACAATAAATTTATTTTTTACTTTCACTTACTCTTTTTTTCCTCCCTTCCTCACCTTTTAGCCCTCGCCCAGGTCAGGGGATGAGGGGAAGGGATTAATGCTAGAATTAAAAGCCCCTCCAGCAACGGGACGCGAACTCGTAATTATTTTATCAAATTATCTTCCATCAAAGTTACGATAAATGAGAATAAAACTTACCCTCAGATAATAACCATTTAATAATAAATTGACATATAGACTTTAATAATTAATTAGAATTAATAATCAATAATCAATTATAATTAATAATCAATTAGAACCCAATTCGAGCTAGATGTTAAGAATAGGTTTGAAGCTTTAGAGCTTCCTGACGAGGACCACGAGGATATTGACAAGTTATGGGTAGAGATCAGAGATAATATAAAAGCGGTCGGTAACTCGTGCCTAGGAAAAAAGGAAACTAAGAATAACAAACCGTGGTTTGATGAAGATTGCTTAAACATGTGCGAAAAAAGAAAAGCCGCTAAATTAAAAGCTCTAAATAATCCTAGCGAAGACAATCTGGAATACTTCCGAATCTCAAAGAACGAAACGACAAAATTGCTCAAAAATAAAAAAAAGGAGTATCTTAAAAATAAAATAATTGAAATAGAAACTAATAGAATCGAATATAACGTAAGAGACATGTACAAAGGTATAAACAGATCACGTAAATATGTAGGGCCCGTAACGTCTGGAATTAGGGATGATAATAACAATATTCTGACCGATCCGGTTGACATATTGAATAAGTTTAAGGACCACTTTGACAATATTTTAAATACGGGAAATTATGATCTGTGTCCTCCTTCTGAGTACCAGAGTGCTGAACCGTTAATAGAAGGACCAAGTAAAGAGGAAGTTGAAGTAGCTATCGGAAAATTAAAATCATATAAAGCAGCGGGAATCGATAATATTCCTACTGAACTAATTAAGGCATGCGGGGAAGCTGGAGTTTCTAAAATACATCGGTTGGTTAAAAAGATCTGGATGAACGAGAAATTACCTGATGAATGGAAAGAATCTATTCTTATTCCGATTCACAAAAAGAGTCCGAGGACGGATTGTAATAACTATCGAGGAATTTCACTCCTTCCGGTACGTTATAAAATATTCACTTCAATCTTAACCAGTCGAATCACGGAATACGCCGAGGAAATTATCGGAGACTACCAATGCGGATTTAGACGGAATCGTTCGACTATTGATCAAATATTTTCTTTACGGCAAATATTAGAGAAAAAATTGGAGTATAACGGTATTGTTCACCAGCTGTATATAGATTTTAAAAAGGCTTACGATTATATTGACCGCCAGAAACTGTATAATATTCTAATTGAGCAGGGGATTCCAAAAAAACTAGTAAATCTAGTCAGGATGTGCTTGACGGAGACACTCAATAAAGTTAGAATCGGTAATAATTTGTCCGAAAAATTTGAGGTTCGTTCGGGCTTAAAACAGGGGGATTCACTTTCGCCTGTCCTGTTCAATTTGGCATTAGAACATGCCATTAGGGAGGTAATGCGAACCGAGAAAGGGTTGGATCTGGGCGGGACAACATCCGTGCTGGGCTATGCTGATGATCTGGTACTGTTAAGCGAAGACGTTGAAACTATAAAACTAAATACGACAACGTTAATGAAAGCCGGGAAAGAACTAGGACTCGAAATAAACGTGGATAAAACAAAATATATGGTTAGCTGCAAAAATGGCGATACTACTGGTGACATCGATATAGATGGTAATATGTTTGAACAGGTAGATAAATTTAGGTATCTAGGTTCAACGATAACTAGAAAAAACGAAATTGAAGAAGAGATTAAGGTTAGACTGAAGGCGGGAAATGCTTGTTATTTTTCTGTGACAAAACTACTTAGTTCGCGCCTCTTGTCCCGGAACTTAAAAATTAGAATCTATAAAACAATTATCTTGTCTACAGTTCTTTATGGATGCGAAACTTGGCCGCTCACATTAAGGGATGAGCAGCGTCTTAAAGTTTTTGAAAATAAAGTATTGCGTAGAATATTCGGACCGAAGAAGGATGAGTTAACCGGAGAGTTCAGACGGCTACACAACGCCGAATTGCGTGAGCTGTATCCGGGTAATATAATTGATGTAATTTCATCGCGGCGAATTAAATGGGCTTGTAAAGTTGTTGGGCTTAGTAACGAGAGAATTCCTAAAAGATTAATATTTGCTGTGCCGAATGGTAAGCGTCCGAGGGGTAGACCGAAGCGAAGGTGGGAAGATTGCATTAAAGCCGATCTGAAGGGACTGGGTTTGGACGGCGAACGGTGGAGAGAGGTGTGTAACAAGCGATTGGTGGTGTCGGCATCGAACCTTCGGGTTCGCTAAGCCTTATTATTATTATTATTATAAAGTTTAATAAAAATCGTTTGAGCCGTTTTCGAGAAAATCATAAAAATATATTAGATCGATTATATAAAGCGCCACTTCCTTAATATAGATAACGCGTGCTGTGCACACGCGTTAATCCGCTCGGCCACTCCGTTTCCATACTTTCACTTATCTCTATATGGAATATATAGTAAGGGAAAGTATTGCTATCACGAAAATTTTCTAATCCGAGTTTTCAACTGAACAAGTTCTGAGGTTCCCCAAGTCCAAATAACCAAGTATCGCAAAATAGTATGTATGTATGTGAACAGTCCAGCACACAAATGAAAATTCGTACGAAACTGAAATTGCGAATTTAAGATTTGTACATGACTGAGATATTTCAGCAACTTTTTCGACAAAATTGGCAAATCGGAAATGGCACTTTATATAATCGATTTATCATATTTTTACAATTTTATAAAACTCCTTAAGTCAATGTATTATTAAATGGTTATTAATTTAAGGTAGATTTTATTCTCATTGATCATCTTCACTGACCTCAAATGTAGATTTTTCAAAATTTCTTTCTTTAAACTGCATTTTAAATAATTGACAGTCTTTAATAATTAGAAGTAATAAAAAATGACTCAATATAACCTCTGAAAGAATGTGATAATTGACTAAAGAAGAAAAAAGGAAAAAGTTTTTCTATGTTGAAAATTAATTTCCGGACAGTTCACAATCCACATAATATAAAAATTATTTCATTTTTTTGCTAAATAAAAATATATATATATTTCTTTATTCCACTGTGCTAAGGCTAAATTTTCCTTATTTTGAGTGCAATTATTTATAATTTTAAAACAAAATAATAATTTAAGAGAAGAGACACATTCCTTGTTAATTTATACTAACTATTGTAGTGTGTTTAAAAATATTAAATTTTTATATTAAATATATATTCTACTTGTATATTAAAAAAAAAATAAGAGGGAGTGGCTAAAAATTATCTACCCAGACCAATCAGAACCTGGCTGCATCCACAGATAATTTGAAAATAAGTGGCAAAGAGGATTTTGAGAAGACCTTTAACGTTTTATAAGTAGTAGAATATTTTCTGCCTGATTTCACTTGAATTATACAATGATAATTGCTACATCAAGTAGATATTAGAATTGTATAAGTCAGTCTTATAACTTTTACTTGTATTTATCAAAGTACAATATATCTATTATGTTCAGGGGAAGTGTAGTGAAAAGAAAAACACATGTTTTACTAAGTTGCAATTTTTTTTTATTTTTTAAATTTCATTTTTTATTTTTTTATTCTATAACCTATTTTTTCCACTGTACATTTGTAGTTTTCCTTTTACTGTCCGAGTCATATCCTTTTTTTAAAAAATCGAATTCAACGTCTCGGAAGGAAGTCAGTTAACATGAGCTACTTGGCTCAAGTCTTTTTGACATGAAGATGTCTTTGACACGACACAGGTGGAAGTTATGCCGTGGGGACTTTCTCTTCCGTTGCGGTGGTGGCGCCACTAGCTACCGAGGTACCATCGTCTTGTGGTGCGGTACAAGAGAGGCTTGGGAACTTCTGCTGGAGAGCTATCTTATACTTAGGATGGCTGTAAAAGAGAAATAAGATACATTAAATAAAAACAAAGTTATATTAATTATAATATAAATACATAGCCATTTTAGCAACATAGGCGTTGTCGATATTTATATATAACAGAAAATATTGTTAAATACCAATAGTTATTGGAAAAAAATTAAAGTTAATGATAAATTTTAAATGTCTATATAACTTAAAGATCTAACTAAATGTTATGAAATGCTAAAATAGTTTATCTACAGTTTAATAGCTATCAAGATTTCTGTCCTCCCTCTTCTCAAAATTTAAATAAGATTAAAAGGAATATCTCCCAAAATTATGATTTGGTGAAGGTGAACATGAATAACCTATTAACTAAAGAATTTGTTTATTCAACTAAAAATTGTGATCTATTCTGATACTAGAGCATAGTTAATAACACTGAGGATACTAGTTGATAATTATCTTTCAGAACTGCGCAATTGTTTTATTGTTGTTTAGGGATGATTAACATTGAGAAAATAAGGAGAGAATAAAAATATAATTCCACTCTGTATGCAAACCTTTGATAAATAAAACTATGTAAATGAAGATATTCTGTTAATTTACCAATCTTTGCATAAGGAACTTCTTAAAGCAAAATGGCATTTATATTTCTCTAAAATTCAGATAATGAAATAAAGTGTGGATTAAATGATTGCTATGGTTTCGTCCATTTTTTTTTTTAGCCATTTAATATCATTGATACCATTTTAATTTATTTTAGTGTTACGTTTTACCTTTAAAGTTGTCCTAACAACTATTTAAACAATATCACTTTTTATTCATTGTTATTTTATAAAATATTAAAATGGATCAGTACTCACCTGATGGCGTATACAATAGGATTGTATACAGCATTAGCCTTGGCGAAAAGAGATCCCCAGATAGTAAAGAGAGGGCTGATCTTGAATGTCTCAAAGATCCCTGAGTAGTTGATGACCAAGTATGGTGTCCAAGCCAAGAACCAGAGTGAAATGGTCATTAAAGCCACTTTGGCAAGTTTAGCTTCAGCAGAGGTATTGTCGTTTCCTCTTAGTGATGCGACGTTCATTTTCTTGGCCTGCTCTCTCATAGCCTTTTCATGAGCTGATACAGCCTAAATAGTAAAATTAAAATTTTTTAGCTTCATGTGAATAATTATTTGATAATATTATTCCTCTGATATTGTTAATAATTATTTTCTTATACCTGGACGATAAAGAAGTATGAGTAGATGATGGTGAGGAGAGGTGCGAAGTATACAAACACGGAGTACACTAGAATGTAACTCCTGCTGGTCCAGTCTTTGGAGAGGTAGTCAGTACCGCAAGCAGTCATGTTGCCCTCCGGTACGTACCTAAATAAAGTTTGATATAATTTTTTTATCTACGTTATTGCTTATCACCTGTGTCTGTTCGTTTCCTAAATTAGCTACTTTATACTTGTTTTTAAAATTCAAGAATTCTGCTAATCGGTGTATGATGTACATGTGTAACATCAGAAAATAGATATTCTACTAAATTGTAATTTTATATTTATCGTATACCCAGAATGAAAGAAGAATAAAGTGTCTTCTAAATTTTTTTTTCGGTCAGCCTGTTTTCATTTTAGAGAACCACCAAATTATGGACTACAATAATATACATAAGAAAGAATCGTGTGGGTAATCTATTGAATTCTAATCTGGTGTGTCATAACAGTTGCAGTCAGTTCAAAACATTTGTTTGAGCCATCGTTCTCATTCTGGATGAAGAATATTTCCCTTTACTTAATACAGCTTGTTTATCATTACATATTTATGATATCCTTTCTGACTTTACAAATCATTGGCTTTGTACATCCTATTTGATGTAATAATGGCCCTTTTATCTATTTTGAATTGTCTGAAGAAAACTGAAAATTTAATGTGTCAAGTAAGGATTTGAACCAATTTTTTTTTTATTATAAATAGCCTAGGCAATAAACACTTATAAATGTATTATAAATAATAAATAAAGACTCCCTCAAAATCTCACCTGTTCCAGCCGAAAAATGGAGCAATGGTCCAAGCTAATGAAAATGCCCAAATGAATAATATCCTCAGCATCGCTGTCTTATTAGTCATTGGCTTGGCAGATAAACCCTGAAAATACATCAAAATAATTTTGATATGAGGACAAAAAATGTACTATAGTACATTATTGAGATATACTTGATTATTACATAAAGTTTTCGTAATGATACACATCCTAAATGTTAACAAGTAAAAAAGAAATCAGAATATATTGTTTTTACTAAATTCTGTCAAGGAATAATTTATTTTGGTTTGTTAACATACCTAAAGGCATTACAATAAAATAAAAAAACAAAAGTTTTACCTTAACGATTACATTGTATCTGTCTAGAGCAATCATTGTCATTGTCCAAATTGAAGCACAGCCAAAAAGTGAGCCAAACATTGCGTATAACTCGCACATTAAGGGTCCTATAAAATTTTTACATTTAGGTACATGGGAGTATTTCACATTATTTTTAAAAAATAATTATAACTTACCCAATACCCATGTCTCATGATAGCAGTTAATAACCATAGCTGGAGACATACACACCATCATCAAGAAGTCCGAAAAGGCGAGATTTACTACTAACAGATTGGAGGGAGTTCGAAGGGTTCTGGTACACGTGAAGATGTAGATGACCATACCGTTACCTACAATCGAGATAACCCCAAGAACTCCTATAACGAAGCCAAGGATTCCGTGCCAAAGGGGATTCATTGGAGGAAACTGGTACCTGTTGTTAAGAAAAATAGAAACATAAGTCATCACTTGGTGATAGAAAACATACAGGAAACCCTCTATTATATAAAAATTTCTTAATGTAAATATAACATTACCAGTGGGGGTCGACAAGATGGAGCATTTCGGGTGGTACGCTGTCGACAACAGTCCTGTTTCCCAGGGGGTTCAGTTGCCCCCACTGGTACATTGCATCTAGGTGTGCCATTGTTTCTGAAATAAAAAAAAAAATAAACAACTGGAAATAATAAAATTGAACAGAATAAAAGTAAATATTACCTAACATAACATATTTGTTTCAGACCCTACCAGCTTAAACTTGAAAATTTTATTAGAATATTTGGTTTTGAATATATAAGTTATTTCAAGAAATTTACCACTGCAAATAGACTGATATTTTAAATGTATTCAACATTCTAGTTCAGGTATTAGTATTGGTGGGGAGAACTAGTCCTTTTGTCATTTTTACCGACACCTGAAGACCACCTTGAGGTTGCTATTCTGTACTAACCAGAGTGAAAAAGTAAAAAAAAAAACAAATATTAAATGACTCAGGTGGTAACATAACCCACAGTGTTTAGGACGGAAATCTGGAATAGTCAACCCTACATACTTGTAGAGGTCATCACAAACTCTGAATTTAACCAATAAATAGCAACATTTTCCCAAAAGGTTTCTGTGAAAAACAGTACAAAATTCATTAAGAGGAGTAGTACATAGAAGAAATAAACTTAACAGGAGATGTAAAATATCATAAATATAATAAGAACTTTTGGAATTGAAACAAGAAAATAAAAAATTACAATTGTCAGATAGCAGGACAAAGTCATCTCAGCTCAGTACAATAGCCAGAGACACTGGAGGGTTGGAGAATCCAAAGATAAATTTATTACATAATTAATTAATTAACATCAACAATATTTGATCACATCTGCTTTCGACAGATCGTTCATTATCCAATCCTGATCCCTTTGGAACTCCATCCCTTCTCACATTCATCAATCCAATACCCTTACTACCTTTAAATCCCGCCTGTTCAATCATTTCTTATCCATCCAGTCCCCATGAAATTGTAAATAGATACTACTGTAAATATGTATATAAATTATTAGTTAGTTCTTCTTTATTTTTAATTCATCCTTTTTTTTCTCAATTTTTATTTTTTATTATTAACTAATTAAAATTAGAAAGTAACTTATAATTTTTTATTTTTTTACTATGACTATTCAATTACTCTGTATTTTTGTATATGTATCTCTGAGGCTCCTTAGCCCACATTTCTGTCTTTCTTTATTACTCTAAAGAGACTCGTCCCAGAATAAATAAAGTATTATTATTATTATATTTATGAATGATACTATATTTGTTTTTAATAAAACTCATAATTAAAATATTTGCTTAAAGTAATTTTTAAAAATATACTTAATAAAAATATATTTAGGTTATAATATTATTGGAGAAAATTCGAAGTTTAGCCTTGAATGTGTAAAGTAATATTTAGGGAACAATGATCATTCAGGCACCATCAGGATTGAAAACAACTAATATCATTGATGCATACAACAAAATCACATATTTCACTTCAACAGCATTAACAAACTAATAAAATAGAAATACTATTGATTCATAAAATGCTCTGCATATGCTGTCAAAATATTTTTTAATTTAAATTTTTTGGCTTGAATTCTATTTTAAATCATATTTAAGCATCAATATTTATATTCTGAATATATAGCACTCACTGATATCTTGTATTGATTTTATATCAGTATGAATATGATTTATATTTTAAAATTAAAATATAATTTTGATCTCTAAACAATCTTTAAACTGATTTTTCCATTATTTTATTTTATTCTGAATTTGAATAAAAATCTGTTATTTGATGTGTTAAAATGTGCTAGAAATCCCTTGATAAATAGGTTTTTACCAATTTTCAAACTATGCAGTTATTTGATCAAACAGATTTCTATTAAAATTGTGAAGAAATAAATTTATAGAAAAATTTCAGTTACAAAGTTATCATGTGAGTACTTCGATTTGTAATTTTATTTTTATTACTGCTATAAATTCATGATTTGTAGTCACATCATTAATATTTGAGTTATCTGACTATCCCAAAATAAAAAAGGGATATTATAACATATATAATTTCAGATAGTGAAATAAAATATAAATAATTAAATTATAGGTTTTTGAAAGATTAACTTTAGTCCTATGGATCATTTAACTTTCATTTTAATTAAATTTTTATAGTTATCAATATTATAATAATTTATAATAATAAATAAAAATTATTACCTTTAGTTATTAATGAAAAAAAAAAAGGGTTAGTCTTGAAACACCGATCTACTCGAGCCTCTAGGGTACCAAGGAACTATGGGGTGTGGCACACCTGAACAGGGGTTGCACCTCCCTTATATAGTCTCAGGCTAAAGAGATTGCCATTCTAATTGGATCAAGCTATAATCAGTTTAAAGGTAAGATATCAAAGGGTCTTCAACAGTTCTTCAAATCCTGTTACACATGGTCTTAGATTATTTCTAGGTTTAAAAAGTCTGCTAAGAACCAGCTTAAGGTTTTATCCACTTTCTACTGACCAGAGGTTGTCTTAAAGAGGATTAAATCATGTTGAAGTTTTCTATTTCCTCCTTTTTGAATTAGTCTGGCAATAAGTTTTTTTGTTTTACTAATCGATGTTTTATTATCAGTCTATTATAATTAGATGTGATATTTAATATTTTACATTTCAAAGAGGTAGAATTATAAGAAGTAAGTATTATATTTATTAATAAAAAATTGCATCTTTTTGAATCAAAATTTATTTATTCATTAAACAAAGCAACCCACTTTGTAATAAAGTCTGTCAACAAGACAATCCTTAAAAGCATGCTGATTGTTAAGTAATAAAATTTCATTTGTTATCCTATTTCTCCTGATCAACTGAATTCCTACTTTGCCGATCCTGTCCCCATAGAGTTCTCCTCCTCATACCGCATTCTAAAAACTCCTTTGATCTTGAAAATGACTATTTTACAAATATTTTACTAAAAGATCTGCTTTCTTTGGTCATATTAAATTATTAAATCCAGGCCATAGTCATTAGTTCTGGATTTGAACAAATGATTATGGTCTGGAATTAATTCCAGTGAAGTTAATCAAACATGTATTCCTGTCCTTTTGCATAGTTATAAATTTCTATCCTGGTTCTCTTTGATTTTATAAAAGCCTTCGGTTTAGTTAATCATTAAATCCTTCTTTCCAAACTCCAAACCCGCTCCATATCAAATAGCGTCCTATAATGGTTCCACTTCTTATTATGTCACAGATCCCAAACAGTTCATCAGGCATCTTCTCCAAAACCCTTTTCTCCATCTATATTAATAACCTTCTTGATTTCGTCTATCATTTACAATACCACTTATTTGTAGACAATCCCCAAATCTACGTTTCCTCCCATCCTATTGAGAAGCTTGAAGCAATTTGGAGGCTACAAGAGATATAGATAGTATTAACGCTTGGCAGCAAGCAATGATTTGAGGTTGAACGTTGGAAAGACCAAAGCCATTCTTATTAGTTCCAAGCTTCTTATTAATTCCATTTCTTATTATCCTTTACTCTACCTTAATGGCATATCTATTTACTTACACACTTCTGTTAGAAATCTCGGAGTAATTTTTGATCAATACCTGTCTTGGAATAATCATATTTTCCTAATTATCCAAAAATCTATGACTACTCTCAAACAGTTTCTGAGATTCCGTGATTTTATGATCCTTAAAACCTGCCAGCTTCTTGTTTCCTCTCTCATTTTTTCCTGCTTTAATTATGACTGCTGTCTTGATGTATATGGTAGATGGCTTGAGATCAGATTTAAGAGACTAATGAATGGTTTCAATAGATTAATTTTTGGAGTCCACAGGCATTCCTGTATCTCCAGTTTTTATGCCAAGTTAATGTGGCTCTATCCAGTTTTCCAACAGCAATATTTTCTATGTGTATTCCATTTTCAAACCTTTACAACCAAAAAGTTACTTGCCTTCTTGATTTGACCATTCCTTGTTCCTCTGTCCAATCTCTAAACACGCGATCTCACCCCCCAAAAACCTGTATATTATATCCTCTCTCATAGAACTACTTCTTTTAAAAAATCCTTTATAATGCATGCTGCCTTGTTTTAGAATTCCTTACTTACCTCCATACGCAAACCCTCATTTATAACTTTTTTTAAGCACCATTATTCATCCATTTCCCCAGCAATCAATCATCCGAATATGTGTATGAATTAAATTTTCATATTTAAGTGTTATCAGCCTCCTTTTACTTTTATTTCAAAATTGTCTATATATTACCTATGTTACTTAGCATTACAAATATGTAAACATACTGATATTTATTTATCTATAAGTTTATTTGTTTACTTATTCTTATCCGTTATATTGATTCTACTGTTACATCACTCTGTAATTTAACTATTTCTTTTCATTTTAGACTAGACAAATGACACTTCTATTGTTCATTATTATTATTCTTACTTTTCTTCTTCTTGTTTGAAATATATTTATAGCTTTATAATATGTGAATATAATAACTATTTGTGTTATTAATTGAATTTTTTACTCTTTACTTATTTAACAGTCTTATGAGTCATTACCGAATCAAGTAAAGTAATGCGCTAATTTTTTTTTATGAAAGCTGTTGGAATATTTGATTATACTGTAATGGCGACACTGTGTGGAATGAGGTTCCAGTCTGCTTTGTTGTTTTTCTAGCTTGCCTGTCTTTATTTACCTAATGTATATGGAATGTGTATTGTTATCCAATGTGTATTCATTATTTGTCCAATACATATCATGACTTGTGCATGGCTGTTCCTATTTATTTATAATCAATTAAGTAATCAAATTGTAATAATAATAGCTACTAAATGTTACTATATAAAAATAATCATGGTTTACTAAGTGAGGGGTAAAATTGTTTCAAATAAATAATAAATACAAATATCATATATGTTCATAGTTATAATGGAAGTATTATTAGTATTTCTTTTAATAGCATTTAAATCATTCTTTGTCTCGGAATTAGAATATGAATTATGATCAATTTCAGCTTCTTCAATGTTCATTTTATGTGTTCTGGAATAGCAGTTACTTCACTCGCTGTTGACGACATTTCATCGGGAGAAGGAGTGCATGATAAAGATGGAAATTTCTTGTAAAGAGCAGTCCTGTATTTAGGATGACTGAAAAACAACATTGAGTATAAAGATAACAATCATTTATAAAATATAGAAAAATATCTCTGGCTTGTTAATAAAAGAACAAACATCAATTTTGTTCTCTAAAGTTTGAAATTTGAAACATCTCGAGTCCCTCACTTAAGTATTATTAAAATTTGAAGGACAGTCAATCTTTGAGTTCTCAAATCTTGAGAATGTAAACTAGATATATAAAAGTATTAACAGAGTAATTTGAAAACTGGCACTTTTTGACACTACTTTTACCAACAAGCCAAACATATAGTTTTATTCTAGATCAAATCAACAGTATAAATATTTTATCTAGCTAACCTAAACATTCCCAATTTAATTCAGAAAATATGTATAAATTTCTTCAATATTTTTATTTTTTTTTTAAATAAGGAAAAAACTTGTATCGATTCTTCCATCACTTGGGAGCGATGGTGAGAGTAATTCTGACCTAAAAAGTTTGAAGTGCAATAAGGATGATAATTTAGACTCTTCAGGACTACTGTCGTTCACTTCAGTTTAAGTTTGGCCTCGAATTCTTCCGAGAGTCCGCCGTTATAATAACAGAGACCTGTTATTAAACTAAGTCTGGTCTTACACCATGAAAACCATGGCTCATAGCAACATGAGCCTAGGTGACACTTTCCAAGCAATCTGGTGTCTGACTAATAACAAATGTTTGTCAAAAATATATATTACATAAACAGAGATGTTTATGGTCTCTAGTGCTAACCGAAAAAATAATCTTAGTGTGCCTAACTTTTGTCCAGTAGTTTGGAATTCATAATATTTTCATAATTTAATGTTTTAAAAAATTTTCCAACTTTGTATAATAAAATTATACCCTTATAACACCCTTCTTACATCTACAGTCTCCTACAGTTTAAACCCGTGGTCCACTCCCAGAAAACAAGATCCCGTGTTTCCGACCTTTATATCCCTTCCCATAGAACTAAGACGTTTGAATATTCCTTTATTTCCCGATCCACAGCCTTCTGGAATTCCTTGCCATCTGAAATCCGTCATGCCTCTTCCTTGTCCTCATTTAAATATCATCTTTACCAATTCCTTCTCACATCCCAAAACGACGTTATACAATAAAATAAATATTGTGAAACAGATTTTGACTGAGGTGAATGATTGATAAAATTTATTGTCTTAATTTTAAAAATCAACCCATGCTTATTTTATTTTATTTTTATTTTCATTTAAATAATGTTGTTTTTTTTATTTCGTTTTTTCTCAAAATTTTATTTTATTTTTACTTGTTTTAATTTAATTTCACTGAAGATACTGTATATATTCTTTAATATTGATTAATGTAATTTTTGGCCAGATGTAGTTTTAATTTTTTTGTTCATATCTGTTATTCATAAGGGACCTTGTCCCAGAATAAAGTTTACTTTACTTTCTATCAAAATTATACATTACATACCAAAAATATATATACTTAACATTTAATATTTACCTGATAGCATATACAATAGGATTGTATACAGAATTAGCTTTAGCAAATACTGATCCCCATATGGTGAAGAGTGGTGTGATTTTCATCATTTCAAAAACACCAATAAAGTTTATAACTAAGTAAGGTGTCCAAGCCACAAACCAAAGTGAAATTGTCATCAATGCAATCTTTGCCAATCTCATTTCAGCTGATTGCTTGTCATTCGATCTCAATGAGGATACATTCATTTTTTTAGCTTGTTCTTTCATTTGTTTTTCATGAGCACATACTGTCTGTTGGAATGGTATTATTTAAAATATTTAATGAAAGCCTATTTTAATAACTTAAGGAAAACATATAAAGTAATTACCTTTACGATATAATAGTATGAAAATATTATTAGAAAAAGTGGAGTGAAGTAAGCTATAGAAGCATAGACAATAACATAACTTTTACTGTACCAGTCAGTTGCGAAATAGTCTGTTCCACATGATAACATATTTCCCTCTGGAACGTACCTAGGAAAAAAAAGAAGTGAAAAGTATTATATTGGTTCTAAATCCATAGCAATGCATTTCATTATTTTATATAATCTTTTGGACTAAAATATCTCAAAATTTATTTACTATTTGTTGTTCTATATTCACAAAGTAATAAAATTTACAGTATATACAATTATAATTGTGTATAAATTACTCTGGTAAACTTTTACTCTTACTGATCGTCATTTGTATCACATACTCTAAAAAATATTTATATTTCATATTATTAATCCCCTCTTGTTGATGTTTTCACTTCTGTCATGTGGTCATCAGCACATAGTTTTCAAAAAATATTTTAAATAATTTATTTAAAAATTATAGAGCTTCAATAATTTTTTTAAAGTATTTTGACACAGAACAAAAAAAAAAAAAAAATTAGCCAACCTGTTCCAGCCGAAGAGGGGTATCAAACTCCAACTTACAGTTAATGTCCAGATCAACAGAATTCTCAGAACAGCACCTTTAATAGTCATAGGTTTTCCATTGATTCCCTGTTGAACATTGTACATAAACAACTATTAATCATAAAGTGTATAATCTGAATAAAAAAATAATTAAATTTATTAAAATTTTAATTATTAAGTTTTTGCAAGATGTTGGTTGATCAAAAGGGAAAATACACAAATAAGACTTTTTTTAGTTTTTGATATTATGATTCCATTTAAAACAAATGGAAATTTAAACAAAATGGCAAATGGCAATGCCATGTTCTAAAGATCATTCTGAGGTGTCCTGTGAATTTATTGCCAAATATTGGAAAAATTAGCTGCTTTAATGAGAGGCTCCTATTAATTATTTAACTTTTGTAATTCTAACCATAGTGAAACATTAAGCCACAGAAGGATGGTTAAATATTTTTCTATTGATTGAACACAAACCAAAATAACTCTTATTCTACTAAATTTAGACTCAAGTATGTAAAAGTTAAGGCTGATGTCTGGGAAAGTAAACTAAAACAAAATTTGTAACATATTTTAAAGTTAAAACTAAAATTTTAGTTGTTTTGAAGCAAATTTTAACATCAAATGAATTTATGACATTCCACAGGAATCATTTTATCAACTATATGGGTCTGTTCCATATATATATATATTTATTTATATATATATATATATATATATATATATATATATATATTTATTTATATATATATATATTTATTTATTTATCACATGATGCTTTAATTATTTTGGTTTATAACATAAAATGAAACAATTTTATTCAATTTTTTATTCCTGTTTTTTTTTTTTATTTGTTCAAAACGGTTTGTAGGAACAGTAGTGTAATTGAATATTTAAAGGTTTTATTGCCTGTGTAGAGATTTTTTTACTGCATATTTTATGTTTTATTACTGCATATTTGACAGTTTTTAAATGCATATTATATGGCATATATTGTAAGTTTTTGCCACATGAATATTTGGGTCCTGGTGATGACAAGCGGCCTCGGAAGAATTTTTGGCAGCTAAAATTCCTTCGAAGTTTTAGGACTGTTTTCCTAATAACTTTTGAATAATATACCCAAATGAAAAAGTGGTAGCTCGGTGAGTCAGACACTGAACTCTTATTCTCAATGTCCCAGGTTCGAGTCCGGCTGGTGGCAGGTAATTATTTATCCTGTTGCATCAGCCGTGAATCAACCCTGAGGTTAGCAGGCCCTCCCAACCCCTATAAAGTGGAAACCATTAATTAAATAATTAATTAAGGGGAAAATCTGATGGTTGAGCATGATCTCGGCCAAATCACCTGGGACAACCGTTGGCCATGAAATAGTACTTCCTTACAAAGTACTAAACTCAAGACCCTTTATGGGTGCAGTGGTACAGATTTTTTTCTTATTTTTTATCCTGTTTACAGTATCTGTGGATTGATGACATGGTTACTATGACTCATTGAATGGTTACTATGATGATATTAAACATTACATATTAAAAGTTGTAGCCTTTATAAAAGAAAATAATGTTTAAAAATAAATAACAATTTTTCATTTAGGAGGAATCTTTCTGATGAATTACTTTCTTTGATAAATCATACAAAATTATGGTATTTCTCAATAGGATTATCAAAATAATGATACATTTAATTAAAACTTTTCACTGTTAGGAAATGCATTTATTTACCTTTGTAATGACAGCGTACCTATCTAGTGCAATGAATGTCATTGACCATATAGATGTATTGCCAGTAACACCTCCAAATATTCCATACAGATCACAAAACAGCGGACCTAGAAACATTATTATTTATGTTTCTTATTATTTCTATTTCCTTAATATTTCAGCAAGTAAAATTTTAAGACAGAAAATTGTATCATGGAAATATTTCTTAATGATTAAATGAAATAAGAGTCATTACCCAATGCCCATGTTTCATAATATGCATTTACGACCATAGTTGGAGAATTTGTCAGCATCATCAATAAATCTGAAAATGCTAAATTCACAACAAGGAGATTCGAAGGTGTTCTTAGAGACTTTGTTGAACAAAATATATAAATGACCATAGCATTTCCAACAGCTCCAACAATCCCTAGAATAGCTATCACAAATCCAATTATTCCATGCCAGAGAGGATTCATTGGTGGAAATTGGTACCTGTAATATAATATTATAAAGTATCATTAAACTTCATTATAAACATATCTTATTTGTTTTTATAAATAAAGCAATAGTCCATGGCACAGACTCCTTTTTATCAAATGATTAACATCTATCTACAACTAAATGGCTCCATTTTATCGTAACCCGCAACTTTTTTATTCACAAAAGTTCTGAAATGTGTTTTCTCATTAAGTTAATTAATTTAATCAGGTTCTAAATATTCATAATTACCCATTTACTTTCACTTGAATTGCAAGATAATTTCATCGTCTTTATTAAAAATGGTTGCCTACAAAAATATTGGGCTTATATAACCGTGTTATTTTGACATTTTGGGGGTGGAAGTCATGCCAAACAGTCCAATATTTTTGTAGATCACATTTTATCTCGATTTTGTGAACAAATTATTTTATAATTCAAGTGTAAAGCAAATGTGTTTTTATGAATTTTCAGCATCTCACTAAAACGACAAAGTTTACCAATCTCTTGATTAAAAAGAAAACATTTCCGAGAGTTCTGTCAAAGTAAAAAGTTTTAGGTTTCCACAAAGTTTTATACAGATGTTAACAATTTGATAAAAATGGGTCTGTACCGTGGAATATAAAAAAGAAAAGTTTCCTGTGAACTAAACATTAAATAAATATATGATTATTATTTATTCCAAGATAATACAAATGTTTCTCTAAAAAATTTACCAATAAGGATCAATTCTTGTAATCATATCTGGCAAAACCGAATCCACGACAGTTCTATTAAAAAAATAACTAACTTGAGGATCCAGCAGAGGATGATTTGGTAAAAATGGTTTTATTTTATTCATTCTTCAGAAGATTCTGCAGAAAAAATACATATTATTAAAATTTAGAAATTGTATTACATAAAGTCATATATTTAAATATATTACATAAATTCAAACCTCATACTAATTTGGTTTCGATTGAATGGCTGATACTTCAGACAATTATTAATATTGTGATATATATTAATTATTTTGTAACACAAATTGAGGAAAAATGTATTTTTTTTTTTTAAATATTGATTTTATAAGAATTATGATATGTTTTTGAGGAAGTAATTTTTAATTATTTCTCATACGATTTGTTAAATAATTTATAAAGTTTCAGATTTATTTTATTTAATATATATGAATCTTCTAATACATTGATCAAAATAAAGTTCTGAAATCTTATTAATGTAAATTTTCTAAAGCTGTTATAGGCCTTAAATGATGCTGATCCACTTTATGAAAATAATGTAGCTTCTTGAAAAATTATTCCATTTTTCAGAAAAGGAATAACAAAATTTTGAGAAATAATGTTTTGTTAGTCAACACTTTTGTAAACCATCTATTATCTTACTTCCTTAGTCTCTTTCAAAAAAAATGTTAGTTGTGATATAAATTATTAAGTATATTAAAACCCTATAAGTATATATTTATGTTTAATAGATTGAAGTTTATATTATGTTGATATATTTATGTTTAAGAATATAAGTTTATTTAGTTTAATAAATTTAATATTTTATAAGCTTTATTGGCCTTTACATTTTAACATATTTCATGGGTAAATTCATCATATTGTGGAATAGTCTTACTCTTTTGAACAGAGAAATCTTTACATTTCTACATTACTAATTAATTATTATAAAATTTTTATTTGAAATAATGTAATAGCATTGGTATTCAGAGCACTAAACAGAACAAAATGTTATTTTTTAAATTCAAATTAATGTCCCAATATTTATATTAAACTAACAAAAAAAAAATCCAACTTTTCTCAAAACCTGGGAAAATACTTTAAATAGATTTTAAGAATATCTATCCAGACGTAGCCCAAATCTGATTCTTATTCGAGATGTATGCAATGAGTGGTCAATACATTAATCCAGATTCACTTTGGAAAATAAACATAGAATTTACAATAATGTTTCTGAGAATTTATTCAAATGCTTTTCACACAAATACCACATTAATTGTAAGTTTTTTTTTTTATTAACGAAATTTACAACTGTAATTAATAATAAATACAACAAGTAAATATGAACAAGTAATATGACATGTACAACATGAGGAGAAACTACCGATTGGTAGCACTCCAATAATTGTAAGTTAAAATGAATAGAACATTTTCATTGAAAGAAAAAAATAACAAATTTCTTTTTCATCTGAATAATGGTACTTATTTAAAGTACTGTTTTCAATAATACTTATTATTTATTCCCTATTGTCTTTGTTATTAATTGTAAAAAAAAATGTGATTATGGGTTGATTAGAAACCAAGGAAGATATGATTTTAAGACTTTTCTTCTGTCCCTTTTTTTAGGGTCTAAACAAATTCAAAATTATTTAAATATTTTTAATTTTCACATATGAATAATATCAATGATTTAATTTAAACTGCATAAATTTTGTGTTTTTCTTTTTACTATTCTTAATGACTATTGTTCAAATCATGAAGACAAATTAAATGATAATTATTTTTCAACCTTCAGTTTATATACATTATTTATACATTTACAAATATTTTTTTTAAGGAAAGCCGTTCTTAATAAAAGTTCTTTTTTTAAATTTTGTATTCAAGGCGCTACAGTCCTGCATGAACTTGTGCCTTTCTCATGATCTTCTTTCACTCTCCTCTATCCTGAACAAGCATTCGCCATTTTCGAATTAGTTCTTTAGCGATTGATTTTTAATTTATATTCAACCATAATGAAATATTAATGGCTTTGATAAATACATAATTAGATTTGTTTATGTATATCTTTTCATAGTAGTAATGAATTTCATTAAAATCAGATTGTTGATGAACTGGTTATTTTTCTATCACAATATGTCTGTTTCACTAAGGCAAGACTTAAAACCTGTCAATCCAATACAAGTGATGATTCCTGAATATCCATTTTTATTTTTTCATTTTCTTTATGAATCTGTCACTATACTTTATTTTTATTATTAGACTCATTTTCTTCTACTTTTCACAATTTTTTTTGTTTGTCTATTACGGGCTGTAAAGTTGTTAATAGTTTTTGAGACGCTAATGATGTTGAAGTAATCCACAGCATTATATTAAACGATATTGATAATACTGGACTCAAGTGATTCTAATAGTGACTACAATATTTGTGAAAAAATGAGAAATCTAACATGGACAATTTTGTTATAAATAAAAAAAATATCAGTAAAAACTTTCAGAGCACTCTTTACTAGTTCTATTAAACAGTTTGAATAGAGTATTTAAAGAATATTAAACACTAATGCAATATCAAATAAAAAATTGTAAAAACTATATCATATGGAATCTTTTTAAAATAATTCAATTTTTCATAAATTGCCAGGATTGATAAAAATAAAGTAAAAATAAATAAATCTTCATCTTATATTCACTGCTTCCCCACTACTTGAATATTTTATGAAGTGTGAATTGTTTGCACTATTTTTTAAAATTCAAAAAGTAATTCATCTTGTTTATTGCGTTTACTTGAAAGAAATCATGTTCGTAGAAATAATAATAAAAAATATATTAATTGATGAAATTATATACTAGTATTTAGGAATATTAAAATATTTTAAGAAAATGAAAAAAAAATATATATATATTTTGAAAGTACTAATTGTTTATTATAATAATTGATATTACAACCATTCATAATAATGAGTTTAACTTATTATTTATAAAGTTTAAGTTCCTCTAAAATTTATTTAAGACTAAATATAATTTTATATTATGAAAACCTATAGAAATAATTTTGTGAAATGCACTATTTCTTACTTTTATTGTTACTTTATAAATAACGGTGTAATCGGAGGTCTGTGGAAACTAATTCTCTCCAAGAGTAGGAGACCAGAAAGTTCTGACTCTAAACTGGTTAAAACTAAAGAAACTAAAACAAAGCATATTTATTTTCCTTTTATGCATTTATATATTTTCCCATTTTCTCAGTAATTGACTTATAAGAAACCTTAGCTTTACATTCTTAGCTCATAATTGGATCTTTTCTTGTTTACACAACATCAAGAAACAGTCTTATTTTGAGTAAAAAAATGACAAGACATTTCTTAAAAATAAGATATGTATGCAATATAATTATTGTTTTTATTTATTAAAATAATTATAGGACATTGTTAATAAATAAAATACAGTGTGATTAGTGTTTCACTTTATTTCTTGTAATAAATATAAATTGTTCCTGAAATAATTAATGTTCAATTTTTAAAAGATAAGTAGTTTAAAGCTGTAAATAAAATATAATACAGATAATAAAGTTATTAATTTAATTATTTTTACTAAAAATACACTTGGTAAAATAATAATTTCAGTTATTATAAAATAAATAATCTTTTCTATGAATATAAATTACAGTTAATCTATTGATTGAATTAAATAATTGTTAATTGTAATTAATAGGAATCTGTTCCATTTATCTAACAATCGTTATACAAGTTTTTGTTTTAAATAGCTTTCTAATGTGAAGCATAACCTGAACTCAAGATCGAAGGTATGTCTTTAAATGTGTTATCAAATTTATTTTCTACTTAGTTTGTATATATTTTTAAAAATAGTGCTGTCATCTTTTAAACTAATTATTTAATAAACATAAATTTACTATTATTTACTTGTAATTCAGTTATAACAAAAAATGTAAAATCTAGCCTAAAACCCTCAAAAATATTGTCCTTAACAGTAAGTTTAAATTTTAATTATATGGTGTAAGTATGGAGTTTCATATTTCTCTACCAAATTCCATTAAACGTTTAATATGGATGCTTTCTTCTTTCCAATTAAAAATACATTAGTCTAGAAATCTCTTATTTCAATAAGAAGCACCAGTTAAGATAATTCAAGGCAGTTGTGTTTTTGAACTAATCAGACCATTACTTTTTCTCATTCTAATTGTTACTTTATTTAATTATACTCTGTAAAGAAGAAAATAAGAAAACAAGAACTGAATTATTGCAGGAAAATTCATCTATAAAGTATCTTGACATGAAGTTTAAGATGGACTTGAGAGCTGTCTTAAAGAACTTTATCTATCGAAGGAACTCCACAAAACTATGTGACACTAGATACCAAGCATTAGAAAACTAGATGAATAGTTAGAATAAACATGAAATTAAAAAGTTATTTGTTACAAATTAAAAACAAAAATTGTAAGTAACAAAACATTTAAATTTATTTTGTCAAGAGAAAAAATGGAACTTTGAAATCTTTTTTTTTTTTAAAGGCATTAACAATTGAACTCTGACCTCTCACTTTAAAGTTAACATTTATTTTTCTAATAAACTTTATCTCAATATTATTACATTTAATCAATAATAGATTAAGGTTTAAAAAGACCAAACTATTCCCACAAATATATTACACTAATAAAAAATCGTTTTAAAAAGAAAAACATATTTTATTTAATATATTATATTATCGGGGCAAAAGGATAGCAAAGAAAAGTGATAAAAATAGATTTCTTATTAAACCTGAAACAGTATATGTTATATTAAATAAATAATTTTTTTTGGAATACGATTTTTTATTGGTGAAAAATATTTGAGAGAATATTATTGTCTTTTAAATGTAAAAATTATAAATATATCCTATTCAAAATGGACAACCAAAATAAGGTTGTTTGTCATATTTATTAGAATATTTTCTATTAACGTCTAAAATAAAATCCGATACTACAAAATAAACCCAAGGGAACTATTTAAGTATCCCCAGAGACTATTTCTGTTTATTTATGTTATTTTAGTTTCCTTTGTTTCCTATATATGTAGGTTTTTCTTTTCTTCTTCTCTGTCTTTCTTCTGTATTTTTACTTTTAACTAACAATTTATTTATGACCATACAGACATGTATTCTTTACTTATAATTTGTTCTAAAGGGACAACAATCCCAGAATAATAAAATATATTTTCAACTCAAAATATAGTTGCTCTAATATAGTATTGATGAAACATGTCTAATATAAGATTATTACTTTTCTGAAATTTTCACTAATCGATTTGCAAATAAAATCATTTATATTGTTCTTATATTCTATAATAAGTAAGTTGTTAATTATTTAGAGTCAAAAATTATTTTTTTCTAACTAATTATAACTAATGGGATTTCATTGGATAAGAAAAAATAAAACACTTTTTGTACAGAACATATATCATCTATTTTTCATGCATCTATTCTAAGTACAGAAAGAAGCAAAAATAGATATATACTGTCTTTTATCTTTAAGCTTTTTCTTCTGAAACTCCAGTAACCCCTGTCGCCACTGAAGCTGAATCTTCAGCAGGCTCGGTACAGGAAAGGCTTGGAAATTTCTTCTGCAGAGCTTGCTTGTATTTTGGATGACTGGAAAAAAACAATGATATGAAATTATAAAAAAGAAATATTTTCACAGTTGCTAAACTTAAAGTAGCAGAGAGGAGGTCACCATAACTAAGTTGAAAATAAGTTTGACTAACCTAAACCTTTCATACCTCATCAGTACACAGCCACCACCAAAATTCAAACACTGAAATAGTTCACTCACAGTCAGCCATATTTTTCAAAAATGCCTACTTTATTCTGCAAGTCTAAATAAATCATCTTTAAGAACTGATATGTCAATAACAATTAATAATGATGAATCTAAAATAAAATTGATATTAAATGTTCTAAAACCCCATAAGCTAGTGAACAAAATATATATATATCTGTACAATAAAAACATATCTGCTCCCTCCAAAGAATTTTTAAACTTTATAGAGACAAAATAAATGAAAAAGTATAAATAAAAACTCTAAAATATTTATGTTTATTAGAACTTATTTACTATTTTATTTTCAACCCTACCTTGTCTGATAGAAAATAGACTTTTTTTTTAAACTGGATGTATGTGATAAGTCGTGTGAATTAAAGTTTAAGTATTATTTGAATGGTGAAGATTGGAAAAAAAAAAACTAATTGGTTATTATGGAATAGCCTGGCATTACAGATATGTATTAATAAAAGATATGTAAGGGAGTGGGTTATTTTAATGGTAGTGTGCTGATTTCCAATGCTCAAGATCCTAGGTTCCAATCTGGCTGATGGCAGATAAATTATTTATTGGGTTAAGTCGGCCATGGATGAACCCTGGGCCGGGATACCCTTTTGGGGTACAACCAGCCTCTATAAACTGGGTACCCTTAATTAAATAATTAATTATGGGAAAGAAATTAGTGTTTGAGCTTGATCTCAGTAAAATCACTTAATTACATAGCTGTTGACCAAGAAACAGAACTTCTTTAAAAGTGTTGAACCCAAACTTAAAATTATGGGTTGTAGTGGTACAGGTTTTACTTAGAAATAAAATGATTTAATTATTAACATTCATGTTAAATTTGTAAAGTAGAATAACTTTTTAACTTGTTTATTCCCCGCTAGCTCAATGTTTTCTAGTGTTACTATTTATTATTTAAAAGAAAGTGTATTCTTTTCTAGAATTTGTGCTTTTGTAGTCTACTAAGAGGATTATTACCATAAGAGAGATATATCTTCTGCTCTTAGATGTTATCCACTGCGTTTATGTAAACTTATTAGGAATAAGTCTACTATTACTATATACTCATATACTATATTCCAAATACTATATACTCATAATATAGTTAATATAAAAAATACCTGATGGCATAAACAATTGGATTGTATACAGCATTGGCCTTTGCAAAGAGGGATCCCCAGATAGTAAAGAGGGGACTGATTGTAGCAGTCTCGAAAACTCCAGAATAGTTGATGACGAGGTAAGGTGTCCATGCGACGAACCAAAGTGAGATGGTCGTGAGAGCGACTTTGGCAAGTTTTGCTTCTGATGATTTTTCATCATTGCCTCTCAGAGATGTGACGTTCATTTTTTTAGCCTGCTCTCTCATGGCCTTTTCGTGAGCTGATACAGCCTGTTTTTAAGAAATATATATTTTTAAGAAATGTTTTTATATGATGTAGATGGATGAAAAAAAAAATGTTTTAACCAAACACATACTTGAATAATGAAGAAATATGAGTATATTATTGTAAACAGAGGTAAGAAATATACGAAGATGGAGTAAACTAAAATGTAACTCCTGCTGAGCCAATCCTTGGACAGATAATCAGTACCACAGGCAGTCATATTACCTTCAGGTACGTATCTGTAAAACATTGTTGAAATGAGTATTGTTACAAAAATATCATTGTATAAAAATATCTATTTGATTTATTTAGAATTCTTTACCTATTCCATCCAAACATGGGTGCAATGGTCCACACCAAAGCAAATGCCCAGACAAACAAAATTCTTAGCATTGCATTCTTGTTAGTCATGGGCTTTGCTGAGATTCCCTGTAAAAAATAAAATATCTAATTTACTGATAAGTATTTATTTTTATCTTTCTTTACTTCCTTTTAAAAAAAGAGTTTTAAATTTGTCACTAGATAAAGGTAACAAATTTTAAAACATACCTACTTTTTAGGAAATAAATAAAGAACTCTACACTTTAAATTCAACTTCCCCATTGCAATTTTTATAATTTCAAGGAAAAAATGTAACCTTTTAATACAACCCTTAAAAATGGAGGGAACTTGATACTTTAACACATTGGTTGCTAAATTTTTTTACCCTTAAAAGGAATATATTTTCCTTGAAATTTTTAAAAAATAAAAGAGAGAAAAGAGAATGTTTTTGATTTATAGATGGGTAAGTAGTCAACTGATCAATTATAAGGATGAAATGAAAGTGTCAGAAATTTCAGTTCTTGTTTCGACTTCCAAACAATAGTCCTGATGATGACCCACATGTTTGAGTGAAAATGTCGGCTAACCCATTAAAGAAATTTTGACTGAAATTTCTGACAATTTTGTTTCATGTTCATTTTTTTTTTATTTATGGATCTTTTTACTTCTTTAATTTCTTTATTAATGTAAAATATTTTATTTTGCTGATATCCTTCTAATAAATTAAATAATTCCTAAAATGCTATTTTCACATTTTTTACTGTAACATATTGATGGTAAAAAGAACCATGTATTACACTATAAAAAAAAATCTTCATAAATTATTAACTATTGATTATTATATTATAGTATTTAAAGTATGAATGTTAACATGTAAATAATTTTGAGCTTAAATTATATTTTATTATTTTTTTTTTAAGGAAAGCAGATTTTGTAAGAAGTTATTATAAACGTGCATGGGAGCCCTGTAGTTTTCTATGCTGAGTGAATTCAATTAAATATTTTATAACTTGAATCATTAAATTCTTCATGAAAATAATAAGTGGGCTTTTATATAATGGGAACCTAAACGTTTTAGCCAAATTATCTCTTGAGATTAACACCATGAATTAGACTTTTCTGTACATACTTGCCACCATGGCATGTTATTGTGTAGATTTTTTTATTACTTTATTTTGTGTAGATATTTCTTATAGTTTTTCTCTTTCTAATTTAAGTTAAAATTATTATTTAATATACAGTTTGATAAATTACCTTAACGATAACATTGTACCTATCGAGAGCAATCATTGTCATGGTCCAAATTGAAGCACACCCGAAGAGAGACCCGCACATTGCGTATATTTCACACATGAATGGTCCTTTAAAAATAATCATGTTTAATTCTATATGAATCCTTTTTAATACTATATCTTACTACAATTTATTCTCTTACCAAATACCCAAGTTTCATGGTAGCAGTTTATAACCATAGGTGGGAACATAGTGAACATCATAAGAAAGTCTGAGAAGGCCAAGTTGACGACTAAAAGGTTGGAAGGTGTCCTGAGAGTTTTCGTTGAGCTGAATATGTAAATGACCATGCTGTTGCCAAGAATCGAGATCACTCCTAATACGCCTATCACAAAACCTAGTATACCGTGCCATAGTGGATTCATTGGGGGGAACTGATACCTAAACATCATCAAGTTAAAAAACTTTATTAGTTTTTTTTTAATTTTATCTAAAAGATTTATATAATTGCAAGTCTACATTAAGATTGAGCTTCACAAAAGATATACAACATAAAAATTAAAAAAAACTTCAGAGGCTACTTATACACCATAATTGTAAAAAAAAAAATAGTTTAAGGGGAAATTAATTTGTTTGCTTTTTTACCAATTTGTTTACATTAAAATCCGACTACCCCAAAACAGTTCTTCAAAAAATCATGATACCATTGGAAGGAGCAATCTTCTATGAGTTAAGAACATCAAGAATTGCTAGTCTTAAAAATTAATTTAACATATTAATAATTTTGAGAATAATAGATATTATGTGTAGTTTATGGCACGAGCTGATCCAGGATTTAATTTTAGAGGGACTTCAGCGCAAAACTTTTTTTTTCATATATATGACCATAATTACATTGATAAAAAAAGAAAAAAACTAACTACCTATATGAAATGGTGTTTAAGAGATCCTTTAAGTATTATTAAATATAATTACATGAACTATAATACTTTAAGAGATAACTTTTTAATATTTGTTTCCATAAAACCTGGTTATATTTTACCATTTGGGGAAGGGGAGGGAGGCTTCAGTACAAAAGCCCCTCCCTGTAGATCCACCTGTGGTTTATGGAAGGGGTTACAGAGCATGGATCTTTTCAAGGGGATATTAGTCTTCAGGGATTCTGAAGTAGAGTAATAATCTTATTTATTATCTGATGATACCAGATGTAGGATAAGTATTTATATTAAAAAATCAGTTCTTATCTTCCTTATATTTAGATTTCCTTAGATTTCGAAAAAAAAATATTTTTTTCAAGGGGAGAGAAGAAATTTAATGTAAACTTTCAAGAATTAAAATAATTTATGTTTAATTTTACCATGGAACTATAAAAAATTGAGTGACGGTAAAAAAGGGACTTTTTTTTTCTCAATTTAGTTTTAGAATCAGTCTCTAAAATTTCCTACGGATGTTGATGAAATAAGATATCAAAGCAAGTGAAGAGATATCAAAAATATATAGAAGAAAAATAAAAATAAAATTTTATTGATTATAATAGTCTTATAGACATATTAATTGTTGATTTATGGGAAATCGAAGGAATAATAAAGTGTAATTTTTGGATCCGAATCCCTTTTATCTATCGTTCCAACCATTTTATTTCATTTTTTTTTTTTTGTTGTAAGTTGAAATCATTCCTCAATTATGTTTAGGTGTTTTTGTTTCAAATATAACTCAATACAATGCAAATGCAGCCAGCTATATTTTCAATGATCAATGAAAACGGGAACTCAAAATAAATATAAATGTATTTATTTTTAATAAGTAATTTACGTAGTAAAATGTCTCACTTGTTTTGATTAGAAGACCAGGCAATTCAACATATAATTAATTTTTTTTATTTAGTCAAAATGACATTCTTTGTTTAATTTTTTTCAATAAACTTTTTAAAATTATTTAAATGCTTTAAGAGTAAAATCTGAAATGCTTACCAATGGGCATCCACGAGATGGAGCATCTCTGGAGGCACCATGTCCACAACAGTCTTGTTAGCCATTGGGTTCGTTTGAGCCCAAGAATACATGGCATATTGTGGTTTGAGTTGGTCCATTGCTGTTTACAAAAAAAAAAAAAGAAACATGTTAAGTAGTAATTCTTGAAATTTCATGACATAGTTTTTTTTTTTGGTTTCTTTATTTGAAACATTAAAGAAAATATGGTCCTTATTAAACATTTTAACAAACATTAAACATTTAAGAAAACATTTTACTTCTACTTGATATTTCATGACCTAAATTTCCATCACCCTAAATAAAAAAATTAAGAAGTTGCTTTGGATCTGTTTCAATATACTTGACCCTTTGTCTTATTATCTTCTATTTTACTGAACTCAGTCCTGAAAGATATTTTCTTAGATTTCTCTGCAATCCTTATCATTCTGAACTACAGACAGTAAGGTCCTATTCTGAGTTTCAGAGGCAATGCACAAGAAATTTAGAATTATAGGAAGTTCATAAAAATAATTGACAACCAAAAAGATTTCTAGGCCAATTTTAGGATCAAAGAGTATAATTTCTTTTATCTGACCATGAAATAATATTTATGGAATTGTGAGTTATAGCAGATTTATTATAATGTAAATCTATTTATTATAAGTTTTTGCGTTATGCAGAAATGGTGTGCCAATCAATATCGAAAAATACCTGTAGCAAACATCTCTCTACCAATATCGTAATAGAACCATATATTATTGAAAGCAGGATAAAATTCTCTATCAATTAAAAAAATAATACTAATGGGATTTTGAATTTGAAGAGTTCTATTACAATTTAAACTTAATACGTTAAAATTTAATTTAACAGTTATATGATTATAGCAATTTTTACTTAAATAAACTGCTATAATCTCTCTCAGAATACAACCATGTATTGCTTGAAACAACATGCAATACTCTTCAAAATGATAAAATAACATTGGAGGGGGACATTGAGTTTAATGAGATTTATTATGATATTATTAAAAAAAAATTCTGCATATTGCGGTGTTGGTATGATCGACGAAATAATGTTTGTGCTTATTAAATGAAGACTGAATGACTCCTTAAATGTTTAAGGAAGGAAGAATGTAAGGAGGTAGAAGTCAAAATTATAGAGGTCAAAATAATATTAATATTAATAATATTAAAATTAGATACTGGAGTGATAATCACCAATAACCACATGAAGTCACGAGTATTAATTACTATCCTAATTTATTTTTATAATTCATTTAATCTTATACGTTTAGTCTTACTAATGCTGGTTCTGGTCAAGTTAACATCATTAGTTTTATTCAATGAATATAATGTCTTATAGATTGTCTTATTCTCACTTCTAAACGGCACATCTTCTACGGTTATGATTAAACAATAAACTGGTTGGATATACATTAAAAGTACACTATAAGAAATTTTAAAGTGAAAAAATAAGCAACCTATAAGATTTAGTCCGTCGTACGGATCACTTTTTATCAAATTATCAACATCCGCCAGAAACTTCGTAATTAGCTTCATTTCATCGTAAACTACAACTATTTTATTTACAAAAATCTTCGGAATTGAGGCGTTTCCAATGTGAAGATCGTAAAACTTTTTCTATTTAATTAGGTACTAAAAACACGCAAATACCCACTTACTTTCCACTTGAATCGTAAGATAGTTTGAGCACAAACTCGATAAAAAAGGCAGCCTTCAAAAATGTTGAGCCGATTGGCGTAAACTACTACCCCAACATATGGAAATAACGAGGTTGTACGGAGCAAACAGCCCAGTATTTTTTTTCTCTCGATTTTGTACTCAAATAATTTTACGACCCAAGTAGAAAGAAAACGGGTATATACGAGTTTTTAATAACTAATTAAATAGACAAATTTAGAGACAAAAGCCAAGAATTCTGTGGTGAGAATTCTCTAAACATATTTTGACCTCTACCTCTAAACATTTAAGGAGTTATTCACTCTTCTATTTAATAAACACAAACATTATTTCGTTTGCCATACCGACACCTCAAGACGCAGAAATTTTTTAGGTTTAAATTGTAATAGAACTCTTCAAACTCAAAATCCCATTAATATTATTATTTTTTAATTGATAGAGAATTTTATCCCGTTTTCACTAATATATGGTTGTATTGGGGTATTGGCAGAGAGATGTTTGCCACAGCTATTTTTCGATATCGATTAGCACACCATTTCTGCATAACGCAAAAACTTATTTGATTTACATTATAATAAATCTCTTATTACTCAAAATTCCACAAATATTATTTCATGGCGTGATAGAAAATTTCATCCTCTTTTCAGTGATATGTGATTATACTAAGATATTTGGATAGAGATTCAAGCAACTTTCACTTGTATTTGTAACTGGTAAATTAAAATTTACTGTATTGCGTTTAAAATGCAATATAACTCTTCAAACGCAAGATCCCACTAATATTATTTTTGTATTTAGTAGAGAATTTTATGCTGTTTTCAGTAATATACGGTTGTATTGGGGTATTTGGAGAGAGATTTTAGCTAGAGGTAATTTTATATATTTTTATCACTACTTTGAAAATTTATGTTTAAGGTTTTTTTATACATGAAGAAAAATTATAATACTAAAACTTATATCAGCAAATTCTAAATTAAATGTATGGCAAATGAATACATTTTGAAAGCTCTTGGCCAATGAATATTGGTTTTACAAATGAAAACCAAACAGGTACATGCTGGTTTTGAGTCCAAAATGTCTTCCCAACTTCAAATATTTCAAAAGTTTAAAAGCCCGTAATTCTGAAATTATTCGTTAGAATTGGCTAAAAATGTTTATTTTTACTTACATGTTTATTTACTTAGTATTTACAAATTTTCATTGAGATCTGATTGAGGTGGGTTACGGGCCCTGGATGATTTGGCATGGAATGACCCCATTATTAATTAGTAAAAAATGCATAATTGAAAAAACTTTTTTTAAAAGTTTAATCATTTAACTTTCTATTTTTGTGTTTCTTAAATTCTTCGAAATATTTTCTAGATTAAAATAATTAAAGTATTATTTTATATCATTCATTTAGATAACTGTAGAGATATGTTGTTTTAAAAGTTTTTGAATTGAGATATCAGAATTTCATTTCTGAACGTCTGATGATCATCAAATTTAATTTTTATTCAAAATAATTTAAGCATTTTTGAATAAATATTTTGATAAATTTCATGCCGAAATTTATTTGTTATGCGATTCTAGTAATTATAAATTACTTTAACATTGAAATAAAAAAATGTTTAAAAGAATAGGAATATTACAAACACGATCCGAATTCATGAATAAAAAATAATCTTTTTTTTAATAAGGCTATGAATTTAGAAATATGTATTCGGAATGTATGCTAAAAAAAAAATTATCAGTTTAAAAATTATTTTCATATATATTCGTAAAATAAAAAATTAAGGTTGAAAAATTAGGTACTAATAGTTTGAGAAGGATCAGAATCAAGATCAAGCTTTAAGGATCAGAAATTTTAATATCTCGATTTAATCAATTATTTTATGATTTCAAGTGATTAAGATATATATATATATATATTGTTTTGAAAACTGTTTTCTGAGTGGTTTTTGGAATCATTAATTGCTTAAATATTAAATTAAAAATTATTTCAAAATATTAATATATTCAAATTATTAAAAAAATGTATACTAAAACTAAAAAAAAAAATGTTTGAAGCCGTTATAAAGATGTATTATGTCTTGTTTTTCATGTTTAACTTTTTAAAAGTTGGTACTTTTTCAAAATATTTTCTATATTAAAATAGTTAAAATATTATTTTATACCGATGAACTGTATAATTGTAAAGATACCTGGTCGTTAGAGATGTTGTTCCCCCAAGAAATCGGCACAAGGCAAGGTATCAGGTTGGTCCCCCACGATCTCCTCAAGACAGACTGCGGTATTTATAAGATACACCTGTAATGACTAGCTGAAGCCTTAGACCCTAATTGGATTTTGAGAGCTTTAGGTTGTTAAGATGTGTTTTTATAAATAATAAGAAAACAGAGGCAATTGAATTAGACCTAAAACTATTAAGGTTCATACTCCTTCAATGCCAGTTCAACAGGCTCAGGGCTATTAATAGCCGAAACTGATGTTGAGGAATTAACATTATTATTTTCTAATTAAAACACATTATATATATTTTGACTAGGCCTTGAGAATATGTTTTGTGAAAATCTACATGCTTTACTCTTCGTTAGACTATAAAGAATTAATCGATTCTTATCTTTCTTTTTTAACATTTAAAAAACGTTTGTTGATATATTTATTTTATTTCTGTTTTTTGCTAGTAATTATATTTTTATTACACCTGAATTCATATCAATAGCGTATTTTGTAATTAATTATCGGGGGCTAATACGAAATGTTAGAGATATATGCTCCTGGAAAATGTAATAGGTCACTTATCAAAAATGTCTTTTTCATACTATTTAAAGCAATGAACTTGAACTGTTAACATTAATAACGGCAACAGTATTTTTCTTATAAATTATTATTTAAAGAGATAACCTATCCTAGTTGTTTAAGAGTTCAGCTCATTCATAGAAACAAAAAATGGAATAATATAAAAAAATAAAAATAAAATTATTTTTTTTACTTTTTTTGGGAGGAGGAAAATTGAAGCTTATTCCAAACAATCCCTCTCCCTTGAATACGCCCATTTAACACAGCTCACAAAAGTACCGTATACGAAATCAACGGCATGCTTTATTTATTTAATAACAAATTCCACTAACATTGAAAATGTTTGATGTCTGCATGTTTTGCTTACATGTACCACTACGACCAATGAAAGGTATTAGGTGAACTTTGAAAGGAAATCTTAGTCAATGGTTGTGCAGGGAGGTGATTGGGCCGAGATAACGCTCAACCGCGTTTTTCTTTCATCAATTAATTAATTAAGAGTACCCATTTTATGAAGGTGTACCCTACATGAGTTCTCCCAAAAAAAGTCCTAACATTGTAAGGTATTTTAGCTGCCAAAAGTACTCCCAAAGCAATGTGGGACCGATACCCGATCTAGAAAGACCAGGGGTGCCCATCCACACAAATGTCGATGGCGCATGAACTCCCTCCCCTTTTCCCAAAATATTTTATTGCTATCCTCTTATTAATAACAGTGCAAGCTGAAGTATGATCGTAGAAATCATAGGTCATACATATTACAGTTTCACTGGTCTATTCTATGCTTTCCTCTTGTCACCTGGTTTGAAACATTTCAATTGGAAAATTCATAGCTCCCTCGAAATGTGCTCCTCTCCAAAATCCAAAACCCCGTCAAATGCGCCTCCCTTAAAAATTTTGGTGGCGCATCTTGCCCCATGAAACCCCATTCTGGGCATCCCTGAGAAAGACAACATTCGTTGGATATAAGTTTCGATTGAAAATCATGTATTCGTCACAAATAAAACTTTTTTAGTCTTAATTAAATCAATATACATTTAATTTATGTTGGAAATTTAATTTAAAAAAAAATTATAATTGAAAAGAATTAACAAAAAAATAAAAATATATGAAAAGAAGTTGGGGGAGCTGGAGAGGACCCTATATCAGGACGACATATATTTAAAAGTGGTTTCCAGGTATTTAATTATATAATAAATACAAAATAGCGATATTCGGGACCCTAAGATGAGGAAGCCCCTTACCATTTTACGGCGATAATCAAGAACAAAACATTTATATTGGAGGCACATCTATATTATACGTTTTCATAAGATTAAAAAAAAATTGAATTTGTTTATTTCCGCATATTTTTGGGGCCTCAAAATAAATGTTTATAATTTTTATCACCGTAGAGTGATCAGCGGGCCCTCTATGAAGACCCCGAATGTCGTTATTTTTTATTTTTCTAGTACTATGGTATGTTTCGTCGCCAAAATAATCACTTTGTATTCGTCTATTTCTGAAAATTTTTAAGGATCCTCCGATGGGTCCCCAATATATATGTTTTTAACTTTTTCATCACCGGAAGATGATGGGGAGAAAGGCCCCTCTTAGGATCCCGAATTTTTTTTTTCTAGTACATTGTTGGTTTGTCCCCCAAAATAATTCTTTTGTATTTTTCTAATACCCCAAAATTAATTGTTTTAGGCCCCTTCGGTGGGTCCCAAACATCAATGTTTTATACTTTTTTATAACAGTAGAATGATTGTGGGTCCCCATCTCATGGCCCTAAGATCATTGTTTTGAATTTATCAAGTACCGCTGTATGTTTGGCAACAAGAATAATTGTTTTGAATTCATTTATCACCGCATATATTTTGAGGCTTCCTTTGGGGCTCCCGAATATAGTTTTGTTTATACTTAACTCGTACCATGGTATGTTAGGCCCTAAAAATAATTCGTTAAATAAATAATATTTGTTTATTTCTGATTTTTTTAGGGCCCATCCGATGTGCCTCCAATATAAATGTTTTGTTCTTGATTATCACCGTAAAATGGTAGGGGGCCTCTTCACCTTAGGGTCCCGAAACGGTTGTTGGTGCCGTTCCAAAAATTAGTTTTTGTAAGTAGTGGATACTGTTGCACCTGTCACTTATTGTGCACTGTTCAATAAGTCACCTGCTAATTTGTTAGCGCGAATCATTAATACGTAATTCAGCTCAATGATTAATATGTTATTCAATATTGATATTTAATATAATAAGATTGTAATCAGATACTATTATTAAATTGTTTAGATTTAAAGTTAGGTAGGCCGGTCCCGAAGGTACTGCTATACCGGGTCGACCCGCGACAGAGGTGGAGCAAGACCCTCATTTTCCAAAAATCAGTTTTAATCTTCTAGACCCTCGATGAGGGTCATACCAGAGAGATTAAGCTGATAAAAACATTTATTTAAAAAAAATAATTTCACAATACATATTTAAAATCTTACAATATTTTCCACTACCATAGTATAATACAATACTTAATTTTCTTTTTCACATACAAAATATAAATAATACAAAGTTTTTTTATAATTTTCTCTTCCAAATTACACTTCATTACCACACTCTCGCTTCTCGGTCTAACCGATCACTGGCTCGACGCTACCCCTTTTCAGTCTCCAACCCAGATAGAAATGATTGTGGATCGAATTGGTGACCGGGTTTGGCTCTTGCCGCCGCTGACTCGAACAGGTACAAACTAATAGCCATTTGATGGAGCTTTTCATCCTTGGACATTAATAGCTTGAAGGCTCCGTCAATCAGTGCCAGATCTCTTTCCTCCGCAGCAATCGAGATGCCACACAGGCCCTTGGATCTGGCCCCAAATAGGTACTCATTGGATGCCTCTGCTGGCAGGTTGAGCATTCTCTTCAAGTCTGCCCAGACTGCTTCGTCCACCCTGGTCCAGTCCCCCTTCGGGTACTGGCCATTTCTCATTTGGAAGTTTAACGATGGGTAGACGAAGGTCCTCAGGGCGTCGATCTTCTGCCATGGGGCCAGCTTAGATCCCATTATACCCTTCGCCTTGGCCACTATCTCCTCTATTTCCGCCTTGGGGTGCACCGCCCGGAATCCAACCGGGTTGCCCAGGAAGCTCTGGACATCGCCTTCCTTCAGTGTTTCTATCTCCCTCCCCGCAATCTTGAACCTGGTCTCGCGAATCCCCACCGGTGCTCTTCCTGATAGGTGCATAGTTTTGCACTTGGCGGGGTTCACCCGCAGACCAGTCCTTTCCAGGGCCTCCGCTGCTTCGTCGATCAATCTCTGGAGGCCCTCCGGATATTGGGAGAGAAAGGAGATGTCGTCCGCATAGGCCAGCGCCGTAGTTAAGCTTTCTCACTATGTAGTCGATCCCCTAGATGAACAGGAGTCCACTCAGTGGGCATCCCTGCTTTATGCCGCTAATCATCCTGATGGTATCAAACTCACTAGAGGGCGATCTCACTCTGGTGGACGCATCTGTGTAGAGGTCTCTCCACCAGCGTAGATCCCACTTCCCTCTTCACCAGTGGTCCGGTGATGCAGGCGTGTGGGATAGTTCGGAACGCGTCGGAACTATCCAGCCATGCGGAGCAGAGCTCCCCCCTATTCCTCCTCTCAGCCACCATCCTCTGGCGGAGTACATAATTATGTTCGAACGCCCCGTCATACGCCGTGAACCCCTTTTGGTAGGAAGAAAGGATCCGATGCACCGTACATCAGGATGTAGTCCTATTCACCAGAACACTAGCATATATCTTAGTCATCGTCCTGGTGAGCGCTATGGGCATTCAGTTCTTTATTTGGGTAGGGGCTTAACTTTGGAGAGAAATATAGTCTTGGATGCTTTCCATTCTTTAGGGACCCTTCGGTGCTTCTGGCATATATTGTATATGGAGGCCAGAAGCTTAGCCTTAGGGCCCATTCTCCTCCAGGACTTATAATATATTCTATCCTCCCCAGTGGCCGAATTCTCAAATTTCCTGAGGCAGTCGTGTACCTCTTCTGACATTATCATGGTCCTAACGACCGCCTCATCGGCCCTCTCGACTCTCTCTATCCCTGAGAGGTCGTAGTTCAACCACTTAGCGTATTTTGACCAATTGGAAAATTTTGACCACTTGGTGAATTTCGACCAACAGGAGAATTTTGACAACTTGTAGTATTTCAATTACTTGGTGAATTTATACTAATAACAGAATTTTGACGACAACAAGAGGAATTTCGATCACTTGGAGGTTTTCGACCACTAAGAGTATATCCAACACTGCGTATTTCGACCGTATTTTTGACTACTTGTGATTTTTCGACCATTGGGAAAATTTCGCCGATTGGTGTTTTTCGACCACTTGGAGAATTTCGACCAGTTGGGGTTTCCACTTGGTGATTTTTTTTAAACACCTTAACTATCAAAATTCATTATAATGAATTTCTAAATTTTTTGGAAAATTTTATGTATAACCAAAA